TTTCATTTTAAAAAGATTCTCCATACTGATTTTCAGAGCAGCTGCACCAATTTTCATTCCTACCAACAATGACAAGGGCTCCTCCTTCCTCACCACCTCAGCAGCATTTTTCCCCCCACTGGTTCTTTTGTTGATTTTAGCCATTATGACTAGACTAGCATAAGATGAAATCTCAAAGTTGATTTAATTTGCATTTCCTGAATTTCAAAGAATGATAAACACTTTTTGAGATATTTCTTAACTATTTTGATTTCTTCTGAGAACTGTTTTACATCCCTAGCCCATTTTAAAAAATTAGGTCCTTTTCCTCCCTCTTTGTTTTGCTAGTTCTTTGTATACTCTGGATATTAATTTTCTATCGGATATATAGCTACAAACATACTCTTCCATTCTGCGGGTTTCTTCTTCACTTGACTGGTTGTTTCTTTAGATGTACAGAAGCTTTTTTGTTTTATGAGGTCCCAGTTATCAACAGTTGGTCTTAATTCCCAGAGAAATGGAGTCCTATGAACAAAGTCCTTTCCTAAATTAAAGTAATGTGTGCTTCTACCCATGTTTTAGTCTAGCAATTTTAGCACTTCAGTTTTCAAAATGATGCCCTTGATCCACTTGAGATAATTTTGTGTAGGGTGACATATATGGTGGGTATAATTTCATTTTTCGACATGTTGACATGGAGTTTTTTTAGGACCTTTGTTAAAAATGCTTTTTCAACATTTTCTTCAATGTATGCAAGATATGTTTAATGCTGTTTTTTTTAATCTTCACTATCAAATGACTGTAGTTATAAGTACTCATGTTTGGCTCTTTGATTTTATTCCATTGATCTACATCTTTGTTTTTGTGCCAATGTCACATTATTTTATTATTATAGCTCGAAAATATATCTTGAAGTCTAGAATGTAAATAAGAACCACAAACGAAAAAAGCCCCAGTATTAGGCACTAAAACCTTGATTTTGAATAGCTAGTCACAGGTTATTGTCAGGGTAGTTCCAACACTCCCTAGTTCAAACTTGCTAATATAGTTCCTCATGTTGTGGTGACCCCCAACCATAAAATTATTTCATTGTTTCTTCATAACTGCAATTTTGCTACTGTTATGAATCATAACGTAAATATCTGATATGTAATTCCCCCAAAGGGTCATTACCCATAGGTTGAGAACACCAACCTAAACAATATTGCTGTTACCCTTGGTTGTTTTTCAGAGACTGATGGTAAGCCCTACTGCTGAAGGCACTGTACACTTAGGGCACAGTACTCAATTTATTTAAGCTTTACCTCATGTAAAGCCTCCTTCCTGTGGTCTAGCTTCTATAGTACCAGAAAATACTATGCAACTACCAAGGGAGGGAAACAATTAATAGCTCTAACCAGCTCAATGTTGTGAACCACAACAATGACCAGCATAGCAAGGTATCTGGATAGGTGCAAGAAGTGGCACTTACATGTCTGTAATAAGCAAGAGTTGTCTCATTATACTTTAGGCCCAATCAACAGGAGAGAAATCATGCCTGGTACTAGAAACCTAGTCAGTTTCCCAGGGTTAATGAGTTAAAGAATCTTAGAATCTACTACTGCCCCTTTGCTAGACCAGCATATTTCCTAACTATATTCTAAAGTTATCCTTACATCCACAGCTAAGTGTGGTTTTCACTCCTCTTCAAAGACACTTCTCTTTGCAGTAAATGGAGATCATCATGGAAAACCATTTTTGAACACAATGCAGCGATCAATGGACTGTGAGGATTCCTGCCAAAACGGACACATCTACAATACAGCTCCTGTATCTATGTAAGAGGGACAGAAAAATTCTAAGAGCCAGAATACCAGGAAGTAGGCTTGAAATGTCCGTTTAAGCCAGACTGGAATAATGGCAGTATCAGTAGACATACTAATGGGTAAGGAGAAAAATCTCACTGGGTTTCTACAGAAAGAATCACAGGCAACTACCTAAAGACTGCTGAGAGATGGAGAATTAGCCTCCCCCAGGCATGATTCCTCTAATTGGTTATTCAATACAAAGTGGTCATCCCTGAAATCATTTACACACTAACAACAAAAATGGACTCAGCAGGTTGTATTTATATATTCATGCATATTTACACATATTATGTAATAATAACAAGGAATAAGATCCTATTAATATGAGAGTGGGGGGACATGGAAGGAGTTAAATGAGGAGGGCTGGGGAGGGCTATAGGGAGGAAAGGAAAGGGGGAAAAGTGCTATAATTCTATTTTGATTAAAACATAAAAATAAATAAATAAATGTAAAGAATATGTATTGAGCATCTGTTATATGTAGAGTACTATATATTGGGTATAGAGTTAAAAGCAAATGTCCATAATACCAGGTTAAAGAAATAAACATTTAATTTTAAGAGCCATGAAAAAGATTAAAGCTAAATTCAAGAAAGTGATGAAAGAACAGAAAGTGTGAAAATCTGATAAAAATGACCAGAGAAAGATGGCCTCAACAGACACTTGAGTCTGAAAAGACTAGAGAGGAGACAACAAACAAAGCGAGGTCAGCCTGCTATCAATGCAGGCAGAAGCCAGTGTGGATGCAGGGGGAAGCCATGAACCGTGAGGATATACATTATGACGGGAGGCCAAATACACAGCAGGGGAACCAAAGTAATCAAGGGAGCACAGAGCTTTATGACTATCAAATACAGTTAAGCATCCCAGAAAAATGAACTCTAATCAATAAATATGCCCACTCCATTTGGAAACATGCTTTTCAGTTCCCCTGAAAGATAATAAAAATTCCAATGTGCAATTAATCTTATTTGTTGCTGTATTAAAATGAGAAATGTGAGAACCAATTTACTTATATTTATAAAGTGATTCTAATTTGCAATATGTACAATATTTATATCTAATGTACAACATGCAAAAGCTGACAATTACACAAAAGCCAAATCTTCCCAAAGCATTCATTTATTATTTGCTTGTTTGTTTATTTGTATGTGCGCACACTGTGGCAATCACATGGAGGTCAGAGGACAACTTGTGTGAGTCAGTTCTCTCTTTGCACCATCTAGGTCCAGGGGTCAAATCCAAGTGTTCAGAATTATTGGGAGCTTTCCCTAACTGAGCCTTCTCATTGGCCCCAGAAGCTACATTTGTAACATCACAGGAAAGCATTCAAAAGCACCAGTTAATTTACAATATTTTGTGACATATTGAGAAATTCATGATTTCCATTGGAATGTGAGGCCATTGTTGACTGTAGTATCATACAGGCACAAAGACTTTTGATGCTTGTTGGATGGACTTTCCTCTGAACTGGTATGCCTTTCTGGAGGGAGGCTTATGGAACTTAAGACGTAACCCAAACATACTAGGCTCAAGAAGGTCCTGAAATGTGAAGGACTTTGTTACAAGCCCCTCTCACAGTTCTATGGGCAGTGACAGTTACTGGGAAGATGAGGTCTCAGATTTGGACTCTCTTTCAAGTTGTGTAGGGAGCTGCATGAGTCGTTGCCGTTGCGTTGCACTTATGTTCCTGTTAAACACCCCCAACTAACTCACATACAGTCACTAAGCTAGACTTGGGTATAATTATTTCTTTTGTCTATTGTTGGTGCCCTCTTTGCGTTTAACAGACATGAGTTTATGTCTCTTCTGAAAACGGGACAAAAATGGACAGAATCAAAGATGAGTTGGCCTAAGATGGAGATGAGACATGCAACAGTGATTGATCTGTCTGAGGGTGGCATGAGGGAAGACTTCCTGTGGGTATATGGTTGTGCACCTCCCTGACATAGCGGCACTGCATATATTCTCCTTGGAAGGTGATAAGATAGGCAGTCAAGTCTGAGCCACCTAAGAGTGGAGTATTCTTAGGGGTCTCGTGTTTCATGGAGTCTGCCTTGCAAATACAGAGCCTGATGAGATAGTGCAGTCCCTGAAAGTAACATGCATGGCTGTTATGAGGTTATTATAAATGTCAAGTACTTGGTGTTCTTTTGCTAAGACGTTAGGCTATATAGTATTACCTTACATACAAAACCACTAATATTTTCTCAAATCTTTCTTGTAAGCCCAGGACAGACTGTCAAGTCTCCTCTAACAGAATTGCTTCTCCCAGAATGTTCCACAGTAGTATCTGGTCTATATTCTGAAAATTACCACACTGTTGGAAGTTTCGTAGAAACATGTGATGGAGCTCAATAAAAGAGATACAACAAGCAAGATGACACCAGCAAATTAAACACTGTGAGGTTTTTTTTCATTAATTTTTTAAAAGAAAAGTTTGTAGAGACCAAAAAAAAAAACCTACCTTATATGCCCATAAACTTCAGAAAACAGAAATTTATGTTTCATAAATGATCAATTTTGGTTTATTTGTGATACAGCAGCATAAGCACAATTTGAGATTAAAAAAATCCTTAAATTTGAATTGAGAGTAAAAAGAAACCATTTTAAAGTAATGTGTCACTTCTCTATAGTAAGTGATTATATTTCATCACCATATAAAATCAAAGGTTAAAAATGACAAACTAATTTTTAAAAGTCCTTTAAAAAGAGAGGAACATCGTACACCTCACATTCCTGCATAAGTAAATGTTATGTCACTATCTATTACTCTAAAATAGAAATTAGTAGCATAAGAGAAAATTCAAAACATTTACTTTTTAGCCAGGCAGTGGTGGTGCACACCTTTAATCCCAGCACTCAGGAGGCAGTGGCAAGTGAATTTCTGAGTTCGAGGCCAGCCTGGTCAGTGAGTTCCAGGATAGTCAGGGCTATGTAGGAAAATTCTGTTTCATATAAACCAAAAACTAACCAACAAACAAAACAAAACGAAAAGATCATCATTTAGGGTTTCATCTAAATTATTAAAATAAAGATGTGAACTAATAGAGCCCATTTTCATATTTTTGAATTATATTTAAGTAATAAATGCGTGGCCATGGTGGAAATGGGTTTTAGTTTTCTCTTATATATGTTGTTACTCTCTTCCTCCACACCCATCCTCCTTACGCACCTGTGTGAAACAGCCCCCCAGGCACCATGCTTGTTTGTGAGGATGTTGAGAATCTTCTGCTTTAGCTGGTTTGCTGTCACGTGGTCACGGTGCTTGGCAGCACTGATGAGGTGGTCACACATCTTCTCCTCCTCTCTCCTGTCAGCAGCATACTGTGCACACTGTGACTGTGAAGGCATGCAACAAGTAAGAACACACTATGTGGAGTGGAAAAATGCTGCCCACCCTTAACCTAAAGGGAAGAATAACAATTTCCAACCGCCATTTGACATACTCTAAGACTGTTCTAAGAAAGGCAGAACCACTTTTTGAATTAGAAAACAACGTGTTCTTTTGAAAAGTATATGTAAAATATTTTGAGAAAAGTTCCATAATTAATGCTTTTCTACTTTGGGTCACTTCTTTTTAAATTGATTTTTGCTGAGCTCTACATTTTTCTCTGCCCCCTTCCATGCTTCCCCCCACCCCTTCAACTCTTTCCCAAGGTCCCCATGCTCCCAATTTACTCAGGAGATCTTGTATTTTTCTACTATCCATGTAGATTAGATCTTAGGGTTCTCACTCTTAAATCTTTTTTTTTAAATTTTTTTTCACTCTTAAATCTTATATCAGTGTCAAAATTAATCATTAAGAAGAAATAATTAAAAAGTTCACTAAACTTAAGTCTACTTTTTAAAACCAAGTTAACATGCCTCACTTAAAATAAAGATATATGATTCCGATAATTACTTTGAAAACAAAAACCTTGTCACTTGCCATATAATTTTTTGCTTCCTGAAAGACAATGTAGCATAGAAAAAAAAAATACTTAGATATTTAGCAGATGGATTTTGTTTCGTATTTTAAGCAGACTATGTTTGCTTTTTGCCCCAAATTCCGGAACTGTAAAATGAGAAGCTAAGACAACGTTTTTCCAGGTTCTCTTCTAACTCTAGTATTTAATGTTTCAAAAGGTCTCACAAGAATCATTTTTAGTCTCATCTTCCCAGGTCCATAGCCCTCAGTTGTCATATCTGCATTTCTATTTTATGATGCTACCTTTTTTTAATTTTATTTTAAATTTATTTATTTATTAAGAATTTCTGCCTCATCCCCGCAACCGCTTCCCATTTCCCTCCCCCTCCCCCGATCAAGTCCCCCTCCCTCATCTGCTCGAAGAGCAATCAGGGTTCCCTGACCTGTGGGAAGCTCAAGGACCGCCCACCTCTATCCAGGTCTAGTAAGGTGAGCATCCAAACTGCCTAGGCTCCCACAAAGCCAGTACGTGCAGTAGGATCAAAAACCCACTGCGATTCTTCTTGAATTCTCAGTATTCCTCATTGTCCGCTATGTTCAGCTAGTCCGGATTTATCCCATGCTTTTTCAGACCTAGGCCAGCTGGCCTTGGTGAGTTCCCAATAGAACATCCCCATTGTCTTAGTGTGTGGGTGCACCCCTCGTGGTCCTGATGCAAACCTCTGATGCAGAACTGAAAAGACACTTGAATTTTAGATTAGCTACTGTGAAGACTGACTCAGCCTGTGATTTTAGAGTTACATTTCAAACATCTAAGAAAATACATGTGACCAACTCCAGTTATGACCACTGTGCAAAGACCTGTTGCATAGGAGGCATGGGGACACAGTCCTGTCTGCTGACACACACTCCAGGCAAGCTTTCTCATCTGCAGAAAGAACCCATAACAATCTAAGAAGAATTAATTCATTATTCAATTTATCTTTTTGTACTGGGAATCACCAATTAGTACAAAGATCTGCTGCAATAATGTGGTTAATATTTCATTAGCGCATTGGAGGGTAAAATTAAATTTTCATTTTTCTTCCTTAACAATTATAGTATTAACTAAGGAAAAAGCCTTAACTGTGAAGTACCTAGCTCAAATTAAATACATTTCCCTTAACTGCAGAGCTCTAGGAGGGCTACAGACAACTGTCAAGCCTAGTCAAATGCCACACCATCTGCATTTTTTTAAAATTTAAAATTGATACATTTAGTATACACACACACACCCTCTACACACATAAATACATACACAAATACAGACACACAGACATACACATACAAGCACATATACACACACACACATACATACAGACACAAATACAGATACATACACTCACAAGCACATAGATGTATATACACACAGATACACAAACATAGACACATACACATTCTAACATGAAGTAAACAAATGTAAGCATTTGAGCTGAAAAACCAGTGGGTATCCGTTAAGTAACAGTGACTATTTTCTCAAAGTTAGACTTCTATTGGCAGTATACACTGTGGATATGAGTCCTAAAAGTTAGACTATATTGGCAGAATACACTGTGAATATGAGTACTAAGAGCATCCAGCCTTCATGTCCACTACCTTCAGAAGCTTTCACTACTCCTCCTGCACAACCACAGGGAGACTAAGCTCACCACTACCTCAAAAAAAGAAAAAAGCAACATTGGGGTGAGTCTGAGAAAATCTTATTTCTCTACTAGGGAAGCCACAGATGCACTTAAAATACAGAGACAGAACGTTGTGATTGTTGAATAATTATTGTGGTCAGAAGAGCAACTACAAAACAATGTCTAAATATTCCTTCTGTGGGACAGTATAAACAGATGAGAAAGAAACACTGCCCTTATCTTAATTTCCTTTTGATTAAATATGTGCTAAAGGTCATAGCTAATATCTGCATGCCTGAAAATAAATTCGAAATGTTTCATAAGACAAATATTGGTCTGTTATAGTCCCACAAAACAACCTGATTTTTTTAGTATAACTATGATTGTCTCAAAATTGATTCTGCAGACAATCCAGTTAAAGTTCTAAATCTTATTTACTTCCATAGTCAAAATGCAATTAAAGATTCTTTTTTTATCTGGCGATGGATAGAGATAGAGACAGAGACCCACAGTGGAGCACCGCAGTGAGCTCCCAAGGTCCCAATGAGAAGCAGAAGGAGGGAGAACATGGGCAAGGAAGTCAGGACTGCAAGGGATGCACCCACCCACTGAGCCAGTGGGGCTGATCTATTGGGAGCTCACCAAGGCCAGCTGGACTGTGACTGAAAAAGCATGGGATAAAACCGAACTCTCTGAACATGGCAGACAATGAGGGCTGATGAGAAGCCAAGGACAATGGCACTGGGTTTTGATCCTACTTCATGTTCTGGCTTTGTGGGAGCCTATCCAGTTTGGATGTTCACCTTCCTAGACCTGGATGAAGGGGGGAGGATCTTGGACTTTCCACAGGGCAGGGAACCCTGACTGCTCTTTGGACTGGAGAGGGAGGGGGAGAGGAGTGGGGGGAGAGGGAGAGGAGTGGGAGGAGGGGGAGGGAAATGGGAGGCCGGGAGGAGGCAAACATTTTTTTTCAATAAAAATAATTAATTAATTAATTAAAAAAAGATTCTTTTTTTAAAATTCTGACAACTTATATATAAATATATTTTTCAAAAAAGAAATAATTCACTTTTTCTAGCCATCCAAAATACTACATTATATCCTGATAAATATCCAACAATTTATTGCTGAAGTGATATGAAACTTAACTTTGGCAAACTACCTGACACTATACTTTTTTATTGATGTTTCAAGCAGTTTTTTAAATACAGTATTTACAATTCCATACATGAAGTGCCTGCTATCCATCTGACCAGTCAAGGGGTGTCTGTTTGTATGAAAGTGTTTTTCTGTCTTATGCTTTTCAGTTGTCAAGGTCAGAGATCAGCAGACCTCGTCCATCAATGTGCACGACTCAGTGAGCTGCTCTACTGAGATAAAAACCCCATGGAACCTAAAATGGTTGGCTCTCTTCTCTAGCTTCACTTATTGGCATGATGCACCAAGAAAATGAACTGCTGCAGTTATTAACTCTAAGGCCACCAGGAGCCCGTGAATGCCAAACATCAGACCATCTATGTATTTCTGAAATGCACCGTTTCAAAAACTGAGTGACCTGAAATACTGAACTGCTGTATTTAAAAGAGTGAAACTAGGAGATCTGCTGAACGGCATGTGAGTCCATTCATAAACCACACAGGCATCCATGTGCACCTAGTTGGCATGCAAAGCTCTAATAGACTAAGAACAGGGCTTTTGGAATCTCAAGGTTCTAAGTGTCTGTAGAGTAGTCGAGAATAACGTCGGGCTCCCCTTCCCCATGGTGAGGACAGGACAGAGTGACACGACATTAATGTATCAGTGTTTTGATTGATACCGAGGAAGTCTCTAAAAGCACGACCTCAAATGCCTCCAGTGGCACTCCCTCTTCCAGTAAGTCACATGTCAGGTAACAAACGGGTGATGCTTGACTTAACCTTACCTCAAACTCTGCATGCTTATGCACATCCTCTGCTCTCTGTCTGTTCAAGATGAACTCAGCTTCATTAGCAACACGGACTATGTGGTCTTTCATAGCATGACACAGCAATCTGAAAGACAAATACCGATGGAATTACTATTTCCTCATGGCCTTTTTCTTTGGAGGAGTGTCCAATTATTTTACAATAATACAATTTTACTATTTCAAAAGTTATGCATAAAACTTACGTAAAGCTAGATTATAAAGGAGAGGAGAAATCTGACCATAACTGCAGCATGTTTATTAGCAAGGCAAATGATAGGCCTGAAGAACTTCTACAACTCCCACATGAGGAGAGTCTAAAGTCTCAGAACTACAATGAAACAAGGGTTTAAACAAATGCAACAGTAAGGCTCATTGCTAAGCTACTTCTTAAAAACTCAAGCTTTTCAAATGTAACAGGCAGTCAAGTGCTACTTCCTGCATCCCCGTTTTCCAGCTTCAGATTCTAACAGGCAGATCGTGTTGTGTGTTTCCATGTGTGGCATGGACCATAGACCAGCATTATGAGTCTCCCCAGCTCTTATGTGGTGATAGAGTGCTCAGCAATCTGCTTTCCACTTGCTTTCCTCAAAAGTTTCCTGTCTGTGACTCTGACACTAACTTGTTTTCTTTGAGGCAGTTCTTTCCAAAATGTTGGCACTCTTCTGCAGCAATAGTTTGACACTCCCACTTCTATTTTCTTGGTTGCGTACTCTGTAGCCTCCTGTGCTTTTGTCCCCTTTTATCTGTCTTAAATTATGTATTATCTGGGGGGGGTACTGGGGCAGAAGGCGAACTCAAAGGGACGGGTAAATGAATGGGATTAAAATACATGATGTAAAAGACACATTGAATAGATAAAAAGAAAGTTAAAAAAAAAGAAACCAACAATCAGTAAAATGAAGTACCTTGTCCTATGCCAAAATTTTAAAAACTTCTCATAACTTCACTTTTATATTTCACCTTGATTAACTAATATTTCAGAAGTAAAACCTGTACTTTTAATTACTTTAAATACTGCCAGTATTCTTTGAGTAATAATTAAACATATTTTCATTTTGTCAGCTAAAAGCAGTGAAACTTTTTTGTGTATATTTTAAAAAGATTTTAGTTTTTAAAATTATGTGTGAATAAGTGTGTCTCTGTGTATGTTCACATGATTCTGGGTACTTGTGGAGAGCAGAAGATGGCATCAGATCTTCTGGAGACGCTGTAAGCCACCTGATATAGAGCCTGGGAACCAAACCTGGTCCTTTGCAGGAGCAGGTGGTGTGCTTACCTGTCAAGCCATGTCTCCAGCTCCTCCCATGCTTATCAAACATTTCCTTTTGCAAATAGTACTTCTGATCTTCTATTAAAGAGCAAATTTACCAAGTACCTTCTTATTTGGAAAGTATGAGAGTCCGCAGCTCTCAGTCTTTCTATATTACTGAGGTCATTTTAAAAATTCAGTTTTCATGCTTATATTTATTCATTGCCAGGTTATTCCCTTCTGAGTCTGTAATCTAAAGTATTATTTTCAAGAACACAAGCTTTGGCTTTCACAGTTCAATAACAACATGAATTATTTGTCCTTGTTCAATTGTCCCAAGTTACAATTAGAATGGCATAGGTTTGAGTTGCTCTAGAATTTGTATTTATGGGGATGGTGACATGCTCAGTGCCTAAGAGCACTTGTGCTGCAATAAGGACCTGAATTTTAGAAGCCAGGCCCACCTGTGTGCACCTGTATCCCAGCACTGGGAGCCAAGATAGGTGGGTCTCTCAGTGCTCACTGGCCAGTCAACCTAACTCAAAAGGTGTCTTGGGATTCAGTAAGAGACCCTGTTCCCAAGGCAATAAGACAAAACATTAGAGACAGGCACTCCACTTCTCCCTCTTCTGCAAGCATGTATGCACGCCTACACACATGTGTGCATTACACAATACATCACAAACACTCCAACATGGAAGAAAAAACACTGGAATATGTATTTGTCAAATACCAACTCATAGTAATTTCTCCTATATTTACCACTACATTTGATATACTTATGGCAGACATGTCCTCTTCATTGGTAACCACAGAAAAGCCAAAGAAGAAACTATTACATATCCCTGACATTTGTAAAAAGTTGATGAAATCTAATTTTTAAAGTTATGTATTGTTAAGAGGCCTGCATAGCCAATATTTTTCTAATTTATCAAAGTTGAATTTCATTGACCTATTTTACTATTTTCCCAACAAATTAGCTGCAGAATCTGCATGGCACCTTTCACTAAGAAAGCTGAGTGAATGGATCCTTTATTTCAGAGCTGTAATATAAAATCTCAGTTGCTCTGAATTTGTGTTTAACCATGTTGGAAAATTTTGCTACAACCTGTTTGGCTCTGCTTTGAAATAAACACACTTACTCTGTGATGAGGATTGGTCTGTATAACTAGGCATTGCTCATGGAGGATTCACGGAAATGTTACCAGTAGTATGAGTTCAAACGAAGACCCTGTGACATAAAGCCGCATCGCTGCAGAGGGACAGACAGACACTCTATGGTGATGCTGTCCTGGCACAGCACAAATGATCAAAAGAGGACCTGGGAAAAGTGGTTGCTGTATAATTAGGAAGACCTGAGTTTGGAACTACACACCCACATAAAGCCAGGTGAGGTGGCACACATCTATTATCTCAGCATGGGGGAGGCAGAGAAAGGAAACCCGGGGGCTTCACTGGTAAGATTGTATACCAACAGATGAGCTCCAGGATCAGTGATGGACTCTCTCAGAGAGTAAGATGGAATATCATAGAGGATGACCTCTAGCCTTTGGGGGTACATACACTACATACATGCACACACAAACATACATACATAGGGGACTGGAGAGAACTACAAAGTTAAAACACTAACTTGATGAAGTTATTGGTTTAGTTTGTAGATGAAAATGCTTCAAGAGAGGGATGTGAATTGTGAGCACTTAACTCAGTGCCTCTGCTGAGCACATGCTAAATGTTGAAGCAAGGTGAAAGAAAACTAATATGTGCACATTACTGTGGATTACAAAACTAAAATAGGCTAAGAGAAGATAGCAGGAATGAAGGACTCCTGATCCAGCTGGCTATGAGGTCTCATTCCTAGGAGCAGAGCAGTGGAATGACAAAGTGCAGAGATGAGTGAGTGTTGTGTTGTAACTAAACACTGGCCTCAGACACAACACAGAGAAACACCAATTATCTGGAATTCTGTCTAGTGTCCCCAACCTGTTTCTTACTCATGCTGAGGAGATGAAAACTATTCACCACAGTAGCTCACAACTTTTCACCCTACTTCATTCCCTCTACCTACCGCCGCACAGAGGATAAGAAACATTGCTAGGATGAGGGCTGATAAGAAGTCAAGGACAATGGCACTGGGTTTTGATCCTACTTCATGTTCTGGCTTTGTGGGAGCCTAGCCAGTTTGGATGTTCACCTTCCGAGAACTGGACGGAGGGGGGAGGACCTTGGACTTTCCACAGGGCAGGGAACCCTGACTGCTCTTCGGACTGGAGAGGGAGGGAGAGGGGAGTGGGGGGAGGGGGAGAGGAGTGGGATGAGTGGGAGGGAAATGGGAGGCTGAGAGAAGACGGAAATTTTTTTTTCAATAAAAAAAAAAAGAAGAAACATTGCTAGGGGAAAGGTCCAGGCCCCCGCCCCCTACTATATCTAGATTGAGAAAGGTATCCATCCAAAGATAATGGGTTCACAGCAAACAACTACAAGCAGTAGGGATAAATCCTGGTGCCACTGCCAGTGGCCCTGCAGTCTGCCCCAGCCATACAATTGTCATCCACATTCAGAGGGACTAGTTTGGACCTATGTTGGCTTCTTCCCTGTCTGGCTAAAGTCGGTGAGCTCCCATTAGCTCATGTAGTCTTCTAAGCACTAACATACATACCTTTCTCTTTGAAGTTTCCTATCTTAGACACTTAAATGGAACCAAATAAACACAGACTCTTCTTCTAGCTTCTTTCAGACAGTGTATTTTTAGGCCCATCTACATACAGCATTTGTGAGTACATCACTCCTTTTAAAGAGCCCAATGACATTCTGTTCTTTGCATATGGCACACTCTCCTTAGGCATTTATCAGGTCATAGACACACGGGTTGTTTGTAGTTTGAGCTATTGTAAACATTTGTGTTCCATTCAATAAGGTTATTCATGCATAAAGGTAAAACTTGTGGTCTTATTGTAAGTCTATATTTAAATTCTGAAGAGTTCTTTCCACAGTGGGTGATCCTTTTAGATTCCTGAGCCACTAAGGGCATTTTTGTGACAATCCCCACAATTTTAAGGTGGATGGATACTCAGTGCACCCTGATCCATATTTCTACAATGACTTCTGATGTGACCATTTTTTTAAAAAAAAATTTCCCACAAATCATTTACAAATCTTCTTTGGAAAAAAATACCTGTATCAAACCCTTCGTCCATTGTTAAATTGGAACCATTACACATTTTGCCTTTGGGTTACAGGTCCTTCATATATACTATTAAGTCACTATCATACATGTTAGTGAGAAGTGTTGTTCTAACCCCATCATTCTCTTAATTTCTTGGTAAGGGATGACCTTCAGAAAACACAAGAGTTTGGTTTCTGGCAACTATTGCTCAATGTATCTTTCTTTGGTTGGGCTTTAGCATCAAACCTAGGTAAGTTACTGCCAAGTTTAAACTCATACAGACTGTTGAAGATTCCTTATCTTATTAAATTCTTTTTCAGTTTTTTATTTATTATGTATGTGTATGAGTGTTTTATCTGCATGCATGTCTGTGTACCATGTGAATTCAGTGCCCTCAAAGGTCAAAAAAGGGAGTCCGATCCTCTGGAACTGGAGTTGTACATGGTGTCAGTTGCTATGTGGGTGCTGGGAACCAAACTTGGGTTCTCTGCAGGAATAGCCAATGTTTTTAATCACTGAGCCATCTCTACAGCTCCATTACTTTAGTTTTTTGTGTGTATGTGTGCACACATGCATGCACGTGTGTTTCTATATTTTGAAGAACTTAAGATAATGAAATTATTCTTAATACTGTTTTACAAAACTGTTGTGAAAACAGTAGGTGCTCTTT